GACTTGAAGATATTCTACAATTAAAATGAATAGCAAAAGAATAAATGTAAGTAATAAGGATATAAATATGTTCGTATATATAAATAAATATCTAAAATTTCCGTCTGTTGCTTTGTCGATTTGTGTTCTCCACATTCAAAATCATATATTTAAATCAACTTCTTTCTAAAGGTTGTGTAAGTTGGGACGAATGGGATTTGGAAAGCAGCGACGCAGCTGTTGTTGCATAAAGTGCAAAATAAGCGGCGCATGCGCGAATGTGCATGCGTGTGTGTGAGTGAGCGAGTGTGCCTGTGTATTGTATGCTTTGTGTATTTTTTTCTGTTGAATATCAAGAAGCCTGGAGTGATGGAAACAGGTATTGAAAGTATATCCAAGTGTGGCGATTCCTCCTAATTTACTCTTACAGATTCGTAAGCTCGCATCGCCTTATATAATTGCAAAAACTATACATAAATATACATATCTATATATCTACATACATATATATATTGATATATATACATACATATGTATAGCCAATAAATACTTGATTGAGAACAATCTGTGGTCACACCTGAGCATTTAGAAAGTCTTAAAGCTGTTCGAACATGATCATACCTTTGATTCGCTTTGCATTTAACGTTTAAAGCTAAATTTGATTCGATTTCAGACACAATCCAAAAACTGTTGTGGGTAGCGTGTAATATACAGTACAGTGAAGTGATTTACAAAGTCAAACAGTGCAGCTCTATTTGTTTAATCAAACTCCATTGGTCGAAGCTAATTTAAGCAAATAAAATACTTAGGGTGCTATAAAAATTAATGGATCATTACGAAATCAGAAGGCGCAGGTCGGGCGTGCTCGACTAAAGTATCCATTGAAGAATTTTGTAATTACATTAAATTGAATTTATGCAAATAAATTTTTTATGAGTGAGGTGTGGCCAAGTTCTAAACCTTTATTTAAATATATATGTAAACATAGTTTCTTTGAATATATGTATATGTAGGTATATTCTTAATCAGTCAAGATATGCGTGCACATCTTTTTGTCTGTCAGTCTGCATGAAATTCGAATATATTCTTTTTTTATATATTGGCAATATTTTTAAAAATGTCTTTTCCTTTCATTTAATATAGTTTGCGAAACTTGGTATAACAGTTAAGTTTAAATTAGTCAATAGGTATAAATTTCAAATGCTATCAGTAAACGAATCTAATATCTCATCTGTAAGTAAATTAAAACGTTGATATCCGAACCGTATAAGTTATTTATAATTTATTTATAGAAGATCACAGAAATCTAAATTCTGTTAGCCCTAAAACTAGAAGAATGACACACCTAACACTCTTAAAATGAAAGTTAATTAGTTAATAGTGTAGAATATCCTAATAGTCATGATTAATATTAGATCTTGAAGTTCTTAGGAAAACATCGAGCAAGGGTTGTTTGTCTCATTAAGAGCCATTAGGAGCTCAGGTATCAGAGAACAGGTACACAACTTGTCAAAGTGCAATAACCTCAAGGGACATTTCGATGAGATTTGATGATATTTATATTTTAGTTTACTTAACTTCTATTCTAATCTTTATTCAAATATATAATTTAAGTCTTACCATCTTTTAGTATCTGGCAATTGACATTAAAATATGTGCTGTAAGAGTTTTAATATTATATAATGAATAGAAACTAAGCGTAAATACGGATAAGTATTAAAATCAACCTAATAACATAATAATGCTAATTATTAAGGATTAATAAAAATAGGATCTGAACGAAAAGCATCAAATATATTCAACAAATTATTTGCAGTATCCTTTTTTGCTCATCATAATAATAAAATACAAAATCAAACATTATAATTTGACACACAAATTTCTTCTAAGTATTTCCTCTAAAAATTTCTTCTAAGTATTTCTTCTAAATATTTCCCCTAATTCTTTCCGCCAAATTTTTCCACTAAGTATTTCTTCTATTTCTTCCAAACTTTTCTTCTAAGAATTTCTTCTAAATGTTTGCACTAAGTATTTCCTTTAAAAATTTCTTCTAACTGTTTCCTCTTATCATTTGTTCTAAGTGTTTCTGATAAGAATTTATTTCCTCTAAGTATTTCCACTAAATATTTCCATTAAGTATTTCCTCTAAGTCCTTAATGCTTAGCTGAACGATCGTACAATTCACTTCACGTCACTTCACTTTACTACACTACACTGCACGACTGACCCCCACCAGGCCTGGGCTACTGAAGAAATACTGCAGCTGTGGCCCTTTATATAGGTCGTAATTCACTCAATTACTACATCGTGCTCAAATGTTGAGTCCGGCTCGGTAGGGATCGTTGCAATCGAGCTTTAAGTGAGCAATGGGAGCACCCTCTGCTGCTGCAAGCACTCTAGCTTCGTTTTACTCAAATATAAATCGCAATCGAAAACTGCCGCATACATATAGAAAACTCTGCCTCAATTTCGCGTTTTTAATGGGTTTGTTATCAATCGGCTAGACCATTTTCAAATAGACTAGTTTTAGCTTGAAACATGCTAAAGTAGCAGCACTGTTGAACGGACACAATAATTTAGTTTAGACATTCACCATTCGATGTTTTGTTATGTTGCTATAGGATCTCAATTTGTTTGCATTAACACCCCATTATAATATATTCAGAATATATGAATACATCGAAACTTTTCTTTCGAAGTGCAATAGAATCAAGTTGCTGTTTCAAGAATGTGTTTCTTTAACTTATTTTATATAATTTTAAATTCATTTAAATAAATACATTTTACGCGCGAAATGTCATCGAATGTGAATATAGCAGTTAGCTTTTGACTGGCAACAGCAACAGCTTGCGTGGCTTGTTGGTTAAATAAGGTGGCATCTCCACACAGGCGTAGCCAACCATAAGTTAGTTTAAAATATCAGTTGCCGGTAGATAAATATTGTGATAAATAAATAGCTTATGTCTATTTATGGAGATATCGGTTCGATTTCTGAAAGTGTTACCATAGTAAAAGTGTGAAGCGTTGAATGACCCCTAGCGGATTACTGTTTGTTGGCCGCTTATATCTATATGTATGTTCATGTATGATGGTAATGTAAATATAATGTTAATAAAATATAAATATTTAGTCTTATCAAGAATATATATTCTTGAGCTGCGTTGTAAGGTAATATATGTCCCTGTCTGTCGCTTCGTCTGTCTCTCTCTCTCTCTCTCTCTCTCTCTCTCTGTCTCTCGTTCTGTCTCTCTCTCTCTCTCTCTGGACGAAGAAGAACTACATGAAATCATTTAAAATCAAGTTAGAATTATAGCAGCAGCAAAGAGTTTTCCCATTGGCTCAATATTTGAGTACGATGTAGTGATTGAGTGAATGTCGCCCTATATAAAAGGCAGCAGCTGCAGCATTTCTTCAGTCGCCTAGACCTGATGGGGGTCAGTCGTGCGGGGCAGAAAAGTGAATTAAGTGCATTAAAGACTCAGAGGAGATATTAAGAGGAAATACTTGGAGAACATTTTTAGAGAAAACTTTTTGCGGAAAAATTTAGAAAAAATACTCGTCAGAAGTACTTGGAGGGAATAGTTAAGTAAAACATTTAGTAGAAAAGGAAATAAGTAGAGTAAACTTGTATTAAATCAATTTAAAATATAAATATATTTGCAAATGAATCCATGGCATACATACTGTGTGGCAAAGCAATATGTATGAAATTTTGTTTGATTATGTTGATTAAAAATGAGCTCTTCCATTTTTCATATATGCCACTAATCCAGCATTTTCCTATATAAGCCTGCTTTATTTAATATTATCAATCTACATTTCGAAGCTCAGCAGCTGGCAACACTGAAACGGTAAGCGTGCCCATATTTATAAATTTTCTCAAACATACCAAAATTGACAGGAAGTTTAATATGGCAATTGATTGCAGGGTATATTATATATTTGTTTATAAATATATATACATAATTGGGGTGACTTTTCAGTGGATTGAGGCTATAAAAAATAATACCTATGTAGGATAGGGTAATAGATTATATGCGAAAATAAAAAACACTCTGTGTGGGTGCTCTTTATAGTGTTTATTAAAGTTGTCTCAATATCACGACTTAATCTATGCAAAATACTTCGTTCATTTGATGTTCTTGTAAATCCATGGCAGCAGCGAGGTGACACGAGTGTAGACACCCGGATATTGCCCCTTGCCGCAGCCAATGCCCCACGAGACGATGCCCACCTGTGTGTATCGGTTGCCCTCATTGACGATCATCGGGCCACCAGAGTCGCCCTGTCAGGAAATAAAACAAAGATTAGTTTAATTATCTGCAGCTAAATTAGGTTATTCTTTGACTAACGCTGCACGAATCCTTGGACGCTTGACCAGCACAGATCATGGATTCGATAATGCCGCCGGGCGCAGCGCGTCCGTATTTATGAGCGCACTCCGAATTCGTCCAGATTGGTATGTCCACCTTTTGCAGAATCGATGGCTGAGGTCCATTCTCGCGCAGGCTGCCCCAGCCGGCGACCGTCGCCACCTGTCCGCTATAGGAGCGGGCCTTTTGGGTTGCCGAGGTGGGCAGGCAAATCGGTTGGATCTCGGTGGAGAAGGGCACGGGCTCGCTCAACGTCAAAATGGCAATATCATTGTGCTAAGCCGTTGAAGAGATATATAACGGGATATATAATAGGATATATGATTGATATACCTACCAGGGTGCTAAATTCGAAACCCTTGTGCCGCACGAGTCGTTTGATGCGACGCGAAACGTGTTGCACCTCAAAGTCCGTGCGGATATTATAGTCACCCAGATGAGCTGTCAATGCGGCCACATCCCATGAGGTCATTCTGGAATTTCGATCAGTTATACTTCATCTAGCATCCAGTTTCCTAATTTCAATTACCTTGCCACACAATGCGCCGCCGTGAGAATGTGATTGTTGGTTATTAGACTGCCGCCGCAGAACTGTTTGCCGGACTTGAAGAGCACGGCCATCCAGGGGAACTCATGCGGACTCGCGTTGTTGCCGCCCACAATGCGCTCCTGGTCGGGCGACACGGGATTCTTGTTGCCGCACTGCAGCGGCAGTCCTTCGGGACTGTAGCCAGTCGTTGGACGGCGTGTGGTTGATGTTGTTGTTGCTGTCGTCGGATAGCTGGGCCGACGCGTGGTCGTTGGCGGTCTGCCCTGTGGGCGTGGCGTTGTACGCCGAGTAGTTAGCCCCGAGCTGGTTGTAGTGCCAATGGGTCGTGAGGTCGGATGCGTTGGATACTGATGGTTTGGTGGGTGTGTCGGTATCGGTGGTGGCCAACCCCCAACGCTGGGCGGATGGGTGGGCAATGGTGGCGGCCACTGTGGAAAGCCACCGGCAAAGTTGCCGAAGGGCCATTGGTAGGGATTCACGGCGGTAGTGGGGAGCGTGGTCGATGGTGTTGGTGCTGGTTGCAGCTCGGGTGCATTGGCTTCAATGTGGTTGATATCCTGAAAGTCGGGCATATCCTCAACGCTATTTTGAACCGTATCAATTGGGTCTTTGTCATTTTCATCGGGATTCAGATTGTCCTGCGGCTGATCTGGCTCCTCCACGTCATCAGCCTCTTCAATCTCATCGACACCCACGGGGGGCTTCTCCGTTGTCGTCGTCGTCGTTGTTGTTGTCGTCGGCATTGGATAGCCGCCCAATGGATTGGTATCCATGCTTGGACAACATATGCCATTGTTAATGCGTCCAAGCTGATCGTAAAAGTTGCATATATCAGAGCCAAATCCGAGTGAACCAACGGGCGGTTGCCACTGACGCAC